GCGCATGCAACCACTTCAGGCCCAAGGCCTGCTCTCTTCGTGACTGGGCCTGTGCCTACCGGGGCCTACCGGAAGCTTCCTGGACTGGACGYRGGCAGGCCACTWCGATATAGGGAAGGGCCTGCCTCCTCATTCGGCATTCGGGTGCTGGCTGCATGCTGCGTGAGTGCTGCTGCGCAATCCGCTGGCTGGCTGGCACTCACGCTCTCACGGGCGAGTAGGAGGGAGCACGCAGCCATAGCCAAGCTGCGCTGCTGTATGCTAGGTGAAGCGCAGGGTGGTCCTTGGGGTGCTAGTGGCATCTGTGCGGTGTGGATCGGGGTTGTGAGTGTTACGAGAGACATACCTGGTGCTGATTGGTCGCCATATGCTCGTACTTCGGGAATGCTGTTGATGTCATCACTCTGCTTCGTAGTATAGGCTAGATAGGATCTGCCACCTGTAGTCTGGGCGCCGAGCGCCAATAGGATATCAACTCTGGTTCGTAGTTGATGATGATGGGACTACTTCAGCATTGTCAATTTTGAACTCTTGGTGTGTTCTTATTTGGTGTATCTCGTGATGCCAGTCTGCTGTGGTTYGAGGTCAARACTATCTGGGCTCATATGTATGATGCGGTTTGATTGCTGAAGTTCGCTAATGCTCATCTTCCTTGCAATTTGGTATCGGAGCTGTGGTACGATTGCGCTCATCTGGCACTTGTCTTCTGCCTTATACGGTACATACATGCTGGGAGAGTTTGGCCGTAAGTGGTGTGTAGTGAGGAGGGTGGAGACGAGTGTGAAGGTGACCCAGGTGGTGAGGTGCATCGCCTGGAAGGCTAAGGTGTGAATATTGGGTGTTCGCAGTGTGATGAGAACTATCTGTTTGGTGATTGAGGCTGAGGTGGAACGGCGAAATGCTGGTTGTGCCGATGTTGTGACTGGTCATCGCAATCATCTTCAGGTCATCTGGTGAGATTATCTCTGTGGTTGGGGGCAGCATGAACGAGGTACGTTGCTCTTAACCTTACCTACCCTCTTCATCACTTCTTACCGTGAGGTTGTGAGTTCTGTCTTGAGAGTCCTCTCATCGTGAGGTGTCGTGTGCGCTCAACCTTGAGAGTCGCGATTGTTCACGTGGAGCATCTGGGGGAAGACGGGCGGAGCTTCTTGAAGGGCCCTGGACGAAGTCACGGTCACCATGCCAACCCACTGGGTGTAGTACACGCATGCTTCGCTGCAAGTCGTTGGTTCTGCTGCTTGCGCATGATAGGGGTTAACTCGAGTGTGGAAGCCTCTACAGACGCTTACCAGACCGTCTATAAACATTTYTGGCTGGSGACTCGGCTCTGATCTGGCTGTGATCRTCGTYCTGCTGCRACGTAAAATAATTCCTGATGTCACTTGGGGGCGGACGTTAAATTGCCTCTTGATCAGCCAGATCATCCGAGTGGAAGGCTCGTCGGCGTACGAGGGTAAATAAGAGTGYTGTGGCTGCCTTGCTCGACGATAACCCGGGGCACAGGGGTGGGACCGGATTGCACACCTTTGAGATACGCTTGGCTTCTGATGCAAAGAAACGTGACACCGTGACATTGGGAAGAACAAAGGGAGGGGTAGATTTCAGATTATAAGTTCGGGTTTAAATTCCAAACTGTGAACAGACCCGGTCAGTCAACATTATTTTTATTATTGATTAGTTAGATGGACAACCATGTGACATCTGACAGACAGCATTAGTTTAGAATATTATCTATTCCTGATGTTCTCTCTCTTTGGGAACTAATCTTGCTAAAAATAGTATTGACAATAGGAACCTTACTTACCTGTTGACCCCAAATGAGATCTGTTCTGATAGCCACCACTAATTAATTGGTCTGTGTACTATGCTGCGGTAGGCATCTAAAATGATCTAGTGTGGACAGTGCACAGTGTTGTAGCCTATGAGCGACGTGGAGGACACCGGAGAGGACGACTGCAGGACCTTACGATCGTTTAGAGGACCGGTATCCCATGTGTCTTTAGGACCGAAGGGTGATAGGGAACTGTTCCGCCGACAAAGGGAAAGGAGAGCTAGAGCAGCCGAGGCCAGCAGGGCATTTGCTAGCGAGGCCAGTGCTATAGCAGCCATGGCTACCACAGCCATGAGCACGTCTGCGCAGCAGACTTCCCAAGCCGGAAGTTYAGGTACCGCCGGGTCCACGGTCGTGCAGACCGTGAGTCAGTCCACTGGCTTAATGGCAAGCCAGCCCGCGGTGTTGTCCCCAGAGGATGTCGCCATCCAACAGGCAGCCCTGCAAGAKGCACAGCTACAGCAGGCATTAGGAAAGATAAAAAGGGAGAAAGATAATGATTAGAAGAAGAGCCAGGATGCAACAGAGAGGGGCAGACATAGAGGAGTTAGAGACGATGGACTTGACGCATATGGATGAAGATGTGAAGGTAGTTAGGAGGGCCCTGCTAGGCGTAATGGAGATGCAGGAGCATCAAACTACCCTCCTTCAGGACATTCAACAAAGCCTAGCCGTGTTGGCAGGBCGTGCTCAGGCAACACCATCACCAGTAGGGCCTGGTGCCTGGCTCGTGCCATATCCTCCTCTTTCTGTTCCACCGGTGACTGGGGTATCCCCATATATAGCCCCTTCATCGGTTGCTATCTTTTCCTTGGGCATACCTCTGTCAGGAGGGGTAACAGCAGGGAGTAGTTTGCAGGTTCCTGTTCAGACAGTGTTTACTCCAAGTCCGTCACAAGTTGCAGTCACCATGCAGCCTGCTGTCTCACAAGCAGTGCAACCTCAAGGCACATAGCCCCAGCAGCTAGCACAACAACCTGTATCGTCGGGTCCACAACCCGGGTTGGTGCAGGGACCGAGACAAAGTCTGTGGGTTCCAAAGACGGCCATCGCCGCTCCCAAACCCTTTACAGGGGACAAGAGAGGCGAAAATCTCGACACATGGTTGAGGGCAGTGTCGGTAAATGTCAAGTGTAAACTCACCTTGCCACACGAAGAAGTGCTTGTGGTTGCTTCCTACCTGGAGGGTAGTGCAGCGAGATGGTTGAGCGGGCTAGTGCAACTCCAGGGGTACGGTTATGACTTCCGCTCTTGGGCAGCCTTTCAAAAATTGAAAGATTTCTTGAAAATGGTGGAAGATAGGTGGCATGATCCGCAGGAGGTTCAAAAGGCCACTGATGCGATCCTCACACTACACACTCGGCAGTTTAAGTCAGTAAGGGATGCCACCGACGCTGTAGAGTGTTTGATTTGTGTTCCAGGGGTACGTTATGACCCCCAGGTCCTACTAACTTCGTACTTGAGGACCTTATCTCTGCCGCTCCGGAACCAGTTGGCGAAAGAGGCCAACATTAATATGCACAACTTTCCTTCGTTCAGCAAGGTGGCCCTAGACCTAGAAGCAAAGATAGGGCATGGACAGGCACCCACTACGGAAGGGAGAAAGAAGACACTGCCTCCCAACTCGAAGACAAAGGGTCGCTTAATGTTTGTCGACAATGATGGTTCAACCATCGAGTTGGACGGCAACCTCCAGGAGGGAGTAGGTGCAGAGGCAGGTGGCGATACTTCAGAGGGTGGAGTAGTCGTCGCCGTAACCCAACAAAAAGGTAAAGGGACCGGTAGACGCCCTAGGGGATTCCGGTAGAAGAGTCAAATAGACCCCAATGCTCCTCCATGGGAGAAAGCGGGTCTAGCTGAGGACGTGTGGAGAGATCGGTGGGCACGGCAAGCTTGTATTAAGTATGGTCAATATGGTCATAGCATGTACAAGTGCCGCAATAGGAAGGTCACCGAGAAGATCCCGCCCACTATGGGGTCGGCGGTAGGATCCTCTCAACCCGTTGGTAGCGACATTGCTAGTTCTTCAAGAAGTGCTCCAGGAAACACGTCGGGCCAGTAGGGATAGTAGCTGTTCCTACTAGGGTTGCGATGGTGGATTCACCTTCGCGGGAGATGGCCCAAGCTACAGACTCTTCAGTTGTCCCGCAAACACATTTAGACCCATCGACCCTCTGTTCGATGAATGTGTTTGAATCCTTAGAGGAGCTAGAGCATGAGTGGTCTAGATCAGATCCACTAGCTTCTTGGACGGCGTTAGTTAAAGCCCCTAAGAGTGAAATGTTTGTCAGCGAGGTAGTCATAGGAGGCCGCAAGGCCGGGGCCTATTATGACACTTGCTCGACTAGGAAWTTTATTAGYCGCGCGTGCGTTGAGAGGCTGCGCTTACAGGGGCAAGTGCAGCGCCTGAGTCGACCTGTGGAGTCGACCTGTGCCAACAAACAGCGTATGGTAGTTAACGACTACCTCCATGATGTAGAGTGTGTTTTCCCGTACGCGGGAGGGACTTGAGACATCGTGTCTCGTTCYTGGTAAGTGACGARCTCCCAATGGACATGTTACTAGGTATGTACTACCTATCTGTAGCACAGCCSCAGTTTGAYTGGGACCGAAAAGTGGTCAAACACACGTTGCCAGGTGGAGGGACCGCCAGATTACATAAGTTCAAAGCTAGTAGTCTGATTGAGTCCTATGGGTGCATKTGTGCGGCCGCGTTCTATAATTATTATAAGCAAAATCAGGAGGAGGGTATGTACTTAGTTTATGTCTCCGCTGCAGGCGAGCCGGTGAAAATGCCGCCAGAGATAGAGGGAGTAGTTGCTAAGTAYCCTGATCTATTTGAAGAGCCGACAGCGGTTGTTGAAAGGGAGGTCGTCCACGCAATAGAGATTATCCCAGGGTCTAGTATTCTAAGGGGTAGGATCTATCGGATGTCTCCAGGCGAGCTTGATGAGCTTCGCCGCCAACTCAAGGAACTCGTAGAGAAGGGATGGATCCGGCCGAGTGTCTCTCCTTATGGGTCTCCAGTTTTATTCATGCCTAAGAAGGAGGGAACCCTTAGGATGTGCATTGACTATAGGGGCCTCAATGCCATCACTGTCAAGAACAGAGAGCCCCTACTGCGCATCGGTCTCCTAGATACTTCAGCAAGATAGAGTGCAAGGGTGTCGATACTTCAGCAAGATAGATCTGAAGTCCGGGTACCATCAGATTGCCATACGGCCCGAGGATCAACACAAAACCGCTTTTCAGACCAGGTACGGTCTGTACGAGTTTGTGGTGATGCCTTTCGGCCTTTGCAATGCTCCTGGCACCTTTCAACACGCTATGAATCGGATATTCCATGACTACTTGGATAAGTTTGTCATCGTGTACCTTGATGACATACTTATTTTTAGTAAGACTGTCGAGGAACATGTTGCACACTTGGACAAAGTCCTCGGTCTCCTGCGACAGCACAAGTTCAAGATCAACAGTGAGAAATGCGAGTTTGGCCGCACCCATGTCTTGTACTTGGGTCATGAGATCTCCGCAGAAGAGTTGAAGCCCGATGACGCGAAGGTGGCCAGCATTCGTGATTGGCCACGTCCTCAGTCTGTGACAGAGATGAGATCTTTCTTAGGAATGACAGGCTACTATAGGACTTTCGTTAAGAACTACAGCATAGTGGCCACTCCTTTGACTGATCTGACCCGCCTTGACACCCCTTGGGAGTGGACAGATAAGTGCGAGGCTGCTTTCAGACATCTGAAGTATGCATTGACGCACTATGAAGTCTTGAAACTTCCTGATCCTGACAAGCCGTTTATAGTTACAACGGATGCCAGCCCATATGGCATTGGCGCCGTGCTTGCGCAGCAGGAGGGGTCAAAGTTGAGGCCAGTAGAGAACATGTCCAAGAAAATGCCGTCTCAGAAGTTGGCTAAATCCACTTATGAGAAGGAACTCTATGCGGTATACAAGGCTCTTACCCATTTGAGACACTACCTCCTTGGGCGGTTCTTCATCCTTCGGACTGATCATCAGACCCTGAGATGGATGAGAACACAGCCGGTACTCTCTAACGCTCTCAAGCGTTGGATCAAAGTCATTGAGCAATATGACTTTGACCCTCGGTATCTCAAAGGGGAGTACAGCAAGGTTGCTGATGCCTTGTCGCGCAGACCGGACTTCTCAGGTGCGCTGACTACTGAGTTCGATCTGACGGACAAATGTTACTAAGTCTTTGGTGGAAGCCTATCGTCAGGACCAGTTTATGTCTGAGATCATACGCAGACTTGAGGCGAAGGATAAGGAGACCTCCGCCGAGTTTGAGTTGGTCAATGGATTGCTGTTCCTAGAGAAGGCAGGGAATAAACGCTTGTGCGTTCCAAATAGCGAGTCTTTGCGTAGTTTGTTTTTAGGCGAGTGTCATGATGCCACCGGCCATTTTGGGTACAAGAAGACCGCAGCCAACTTGCTGCAGCGGTTTTGGTGGCCCACGATGATGAAAGATGCACAGCTGTACGTGGGAACTTGTCAAGTATGCCAAAGAGACAAGCCCCGTACTCAGGCTCCTCTTGGGCTGCTCAAGCCCCTTCCGATTTCGGAAAGGCCGGGTGAAAGTTTATCCATGGACTTCATGGATACGCTGGTCACCAGCAAGAGTGGAATGAGACAGATCTTTGTCATCGTGGATAGGTTAAATAAGTTTGCTAGATTAATAGCTATGCCAGAAACAGCAAAGACCGAATACGTGATCAGGCTATTTAAAGAAAAATGGGTTAGAGACTTTGGACTGCCGAAGTCTATAGTCAGTGACAGGGACGTCAGGTTCACGAGTGAATTATGGAAGGCCGCTGCAGCTCAACAAGGAACTCAACTGCAGATGACTTCTGGAAATCATCTAGAAGCTAATAGTCAGGTTGAAGAAATGAACCGCGCTGTGCAACACCTGTTGAGGCACTACATCAAGCCCAATCAGGTTACGAAAAGCTTGCTCTAGTCGCTAGTCTATATAACAACGCTGTGCACAGTGCTACCGAGACGAGTCCTAACAGTCTACAACTGACATTCAAGCCTAGACTGCCCTTAGATTTCCTACTTCCAGACAACCAGCCTGGAGTTCGCCTATAGATATGAACAGAAGATGCAGGAGGCTGTAGAACACATGCAGAAGGCACAGGCAGCAATGATAGAGTCTGAGAATAGACACCGCCGCCCTTGTACATTTCAGGTAGGGGACAGAGTCTGGGTCAAATCTTCAGAACTGGGACAGGAGTTCGGGATATCCCGCAAACTCATGCCTCAGTACTTTGGACCTTGGGAAGTGTTAGACATAGTAGGGACAGATCCTGATGGTCCATCATATGTCATCCGTACCCCTGGTCATCTTAGAACTTACCCAGTCTTTCACGCCTCTAAGCTCGCTGCATTTGAAGAAACTGATCAGTTTCCCTCTCGTCGATCCATGCTGCCCCCAGCCATGGACGGAGAAGTCGACATCGATGATATCGTTGACCACAGGGAGATGCCTGTTCAAAAGCCTCCAGGAAGGGGACGTCCTCCAAAGCCAAAGCTGCAGTTCCGAGTCCACTTCAGACATCATACAGATCCGAAGGAGGACCGCTGGTTTACTCGGGAGGAACTGATGCAGACCGCTCCTCAAATCGTTGCCCGCTATGAGAAGGATGTACTGAAAGGAAAGCGCCAGATGGCTACAGATTGATCNTTGGGCTATGGCGTAATCGGCAAGCCCTTGGCGATGGCTTTATGTGGCGTAATTGACAAGTGCTTGGCGATGGCGTAATTGGCAACAAGCTCTTGCCAATTGGCGATGGCGTACTTGGCAATTCCTTGGCGATGGCGTTACTTGGATGGCGTAATTGGGAAGCTCTTGGCGATGGCAAGGTCCCAGTAGCAAAGAAAATTGGATGTAACTCCGGAATCCGGACGTGTCCGTGGAGAGGTTAAAAAAATCGGTATTACTCTTCTTTTCTGTATCTATGAGGCAAAACACAACCAGATTCAGGTGGTTCATCCAATCCTCCTTGCCGTAATTGGCAAGCGCTTGGCGATCATGTTGTAATTGGCAAGCCCTTGGCGATGGCAAGGTCCCAGTAGCAAGGGCAATTGGATGTAACTCCTGAATCTGGACGTGTTCGTGGAGAGGTTAAAAAAATCGGTATTACTCTGCTTTTCTGTATCTATGAGGCAACACACAACCAGATTCAGGTGCTTCATCCAATCCTCCTTGCTTGTACGACCATGCGCAAGGAGAGAGAGAGAGCGGCTCCAAGTGGTGATAGATGTGGAGCGGACGATATGAGAGACCGAAGGTGTGGGCTGGACTCTCTCTGCGTCTTTCTTTTTTTAATTACAAATCCCCCATCTGATTATAAAGGGATAATTTACAAAATACCCCCATAAGTTGAGATATTTGCCAAAATGCCCCTTAAAGATGTGGGTAGAGAGGAATGCCCCTCTGGCAAAAAAAATATTTTGTGAAATACCCCTGGCGTCGGTTGGACGCCCATCTTTGCAGTATACCCCTACTGGGTACCGTCCAACTTTGCCAAATACCCCAGTACTTGTCAACTTCTCCTAGGTGCTATTAAAAAAGGCCCAAGGCCCAAACGGAGAGGTCCAGATTGCAAAGTTGCACACCCGCCTGACAGGGGCACAACAAAAAGATTTCGGCCCAAAAGGGCAATTCGCTCTACCCAAATCGTTCAGGGGCATTTTGGCATATATCTCAGCCAATGAGGGTATTTTCCAAATTATCACTATTATAAATCCAACATTTTGTTTGTTATAAATGCACCATTTATTATTATAATGATGGAGCAGATGCATGATGGTCGACTACCTGCATCTGGCTGAGCTCGGGTTGGGGTCAGCGCATATATATGTCTTTATCGGGTGCGATTTCCAGTCCAGATTCATCTGAAAATTGAAATGATACAACGAACCAGTGTTTCCATTCAGAGGAAAACGGTTGGTGATCATATCAGATTCTGGATGGCCCCGTGTTTGACGGAAGCAAAACGCTCTCCATCCACGGATCGAAAAAGCTAAGTGCCAAGGCTACGCCCGCTTAGCCCCTAAGGGGCCCTATCTGCAGACAGTTGCGTTGTGCCAGTTGGTTGAATGAATCCAGGCCCTGGGCCGCCTGTGTAAATGAATGTGAAGCAGGCCGTGGGCTGGATACGGGTACCGGGCCAAACACAGGCCGAAAGCAGTTGGGCGCATGCAACCACTTCAGGCCCAAGGCCTGCTCTCTTCGTGACTGGGCCTGTGCCTACCGGGGCCTACCGGAAGCTTCCTGGACTGGACGYRGGCAGGCCACTWCGATATAGGGAAGGGCCTGCCTCCTCATTCGGCATTCGGGTGCTGGCTGCATGCTGCGTGAGTGCTGCTGCGCAATCCGCTGGCTGGCTGGCACTCACGCTCTCACGGGCGAGTAGGAGGGAGCACGCAGCCATAGCCAAGCTGCGCTGCTGTATGCTAGGTGAAGCGCAGGGTGGTCCTTGGGGTGCTAGTGGCATCTGTGCGGTGTGGATCGGGGTTGTGAGTGTTACGAGAGACATACCTGGTGCTGATTGGTCGCCATATGCTCGTACTTCGGGAATGCTGTTGATGTCATCACTCTGCTTCGTAGTATAGGCTAGATAGGATCTGCCACCTGTAGTCTGGGCGCCGAGCGCCAATAGGATATCAACTCTGGTTCGTAGTTGATGATGATGGGACTACTTCAGCATTGTCAATTTTGAACTCTTGGTGTGTTCTTATTTGGTGTATCTCGTGATGCAAGTCTGCTGTGGTTCGAGGTCAAAACTATCTGGGCTCATATGTATGATGCGGTTTGATTGCTGAAGTTCGCTAATGCTCATTTTCCTTGCATAAGTCATAAAAAAAAAAAAAAAAAAAAAAAGAAGCTAAGTCATGGTGCCGACTTCGAAGCATCAGCAAATCTTTTTTTCCTTTTTCTTTTTCTTTTCTCTTTTCGTTTTCGGAAGACAACAAACAAACCACACAAGTTAAAAAAAAACAAAAAACTAGTCGGAAGTCTAGCTCTGCCTCTACAGTACTGAATTCGTTCTTTACAAAACAGGAAAAAAAATAGTTCTTTGTCACAACCTGTGAAGTAGGATATACCCCCTGGTCGGTATTGGTAGAGTCACTAGTCATCAGGCCCATCACCTGTGTGTGCCTGTGTGTCACGACGTGTGTGTGTGTGTGTGTGTGTGTTTGTGTGTGTGTGTGTGTGTTTTGTGTGTGTGTGTGTGTGTGTGTGTGTGTGTGTGTGACACTGTGTGTGTGTGTGTCACCTCCATACCTCCTCCCCCCCCCTCCTCCGGCATACCTCCTCCCTCCCTCTTCCATGTTGACTCCCTCCTTCTGCAATGCGCTGCGGCTTGTCTTTCTGGGTGGGTCTCAAACTGGATTTAAGGGAGTGTGGGCCCATGGACCCTGGGGACAACGTCCCACTTGCATGGATCGAGAGATATTACTGGTCGTGGACTACTACAAAGAAGATCAACGGCCATTTTAAGTATTATATTTTTATATTATTATTAATCAAACCATTATTATATTATACTCATTATATATTATTATTTATTTTTTACACCCGCAAGCGGGACCACGTCCCGGGACGTGCGCGCCATGTGAAAGGGGTCTCCAGCGGAGCCTCAGGTCTCCCGCCAGTAGTTTTTTTTTTTTTTTTTTTCCTAATTAACAAATCTGGCAGGCAAGTTTGGATTCTTCCCATCTGGGCCGAGGTCCCACTAGCAAAGACGATCGGATCGAATACCTGAATTTGGATGTGTTTTATGCAGAGATGCAGAAAAGCAGTTCAATCTCGATTTCCTGCACCTCTCTACAAACACGTCCAGATGCAGGCATTCGATCCGATCCCTTTTGCTAGTGGGACCACGCCCCTGGTAACTCTATGAATGAGCAGAGAGGTTGGTGCCGGAGATCCGTGGCTGTTAAAAAAAAAAAAAAAAAAAAAAGAAGAAGACGAAGAAGAAGAAGACAGACAGAAGAAGAAAGAGATTTGTGGCTTTGGTGGACAATCTTTCACTCTTTCTCGTTTCTATTTTTTTCTTAATCCAGACAATTTAGCAAGGGACGCTTTGCGGCAACCCACCCAGTAGTAGGATAAAATAGACTGGACTCGTTAGAGCAAATGAAAAAAATAAATAAATAATAATAATAATAATAAAATTGTTTGGCCCTCCTTGGAAATGCCGAGAAAGAGACACCCCAGGCGTCAGGGGCAATTCCTTGGTATGATTATAT